TGAAAGTGAATCAAGCTGCGACAGAACCATTTAATAATCTTCAATTTTAAATTTTAAGAAACGTATCATTGTTCTGCTGCTACTACAAGCAAATCCAGTTGTTGAAATGAAATCAAAAAAAAGCTTTTCCAGCAAGAAATTAATATTTTGCCATCTTGTATCTTCCAGGTCACCACAGTAGATCGTTACCAAGGGCAACAAAACGATTACATCATCCTGTCCCTGGTTCGTACYAGGGCTGTTGGTCACCTTAGAGACGTTCGTCGTCTCGTCGTTGCTATGTCACGTGCCAGGCTCGGTCTCTATATCTTGGCGCGTGTTGAGCTGTTCAACAACTGCTTTGAGCTCAGCCCAGCATTTAATCAGGTAACAAGTCCGGCATAATCAGCATTCCTCTACGAAGCTTTTCGCTGTCGTATCACAGCGTGGGACAATCACTACAGACCTAGGCTGCGAATTAAGTGAAAGCCCAAAGATCGAATTAGAATTTAGAAGTTGATTTTTGAGGAGGGAGGAGAACCCGGAGAAAACCCCTCGAAGCACAGGAGAGACTCGGGCCGCATGTCAGATTTACCACTCTAGGTGAACGAAAAACCAAAGCAGGTCTTACTGCGCACTTGAAGATCGAATTTAAATTTGGACGTTTTTTTTATTATTTATTTTTGAGGGAGGAAAAACCGGAGAAAAACAATCAAAGCACAGTAGCGAACAAACAAACAACTCTACTCACATACGACGTTAAGTCTGGAAATCAAACCCGATTGACAGTCTGGAAATCAAACCCGATTGGCAGTCTGGGAATCAAACTCGATTGGCAGTTGGGTGAGAGTCTGCGCATTAGCAGCTCACACCACACGCGCTATTTTTTGTTTGTTTTTGTTTTGGTTGAAGAATAACGTTCAGTTTCGTATTTTGTATTTCGTAGCTCATCCAACGGCCATTACAGCTGTATTTAGCACCGCACGAGAGATACCCATCGGACAGAAGGGTAAGTATAAACGTATGGAGGGAGGACTTGCTGAATCAAAATCCTGTACTACATAAGAAAGTCTCGCATGGAAAATGGAAACTTCTATTACCGAAACGGGGTTTTGCGTGGTCGTGTGACCTGATTTGGCATAGATGGACGGAGGGAAGAGTACGAACAATAAAATAAATTAAGGAGTGAAAGATTGAGCGATTGGATTTTTGATTTTGACCTGTTTTTACAACAGTTATCGTAGATTTATAAGCTTTACGCCGTAGTGAAAATAGAAACTGACGTTTCGGACGTTAGTCCTTCGTGGGAGTCTTGTTTTAACAACAAGTCGACAAAGATCTAGCACTGAGAATAATGAGTATATGGTGGCCATCTTGCCAGGGGGCAAAACAAACAGTGTTACGTGTGTTTTGACTTTGTTTTATGGGTAAAGGTATCGATGTGCCGTCTTAATTCATCTTTTTTTGTATTCTCTTGTGGTGAGCTGTTAATATTTATCAACTTCGTTACTGTAAAATGCTTTATCTGTCCCCCGGACGCCCAATGATGATTTGCAAATCCAAGATGGCCGCCGAATCCTTGAGGTAGTCCATTACAAGTAGTTATTAAATGACTGACCTTTGATGTGGTGTTGTCCATAACAGGTAGGAACACCTCCCAATGGTCATCCGCTGATCATCACAGACATGATTCACATGCATCGYTTTGTCTATGACTTCTATCAGGACCATGTTAGAGAACTGCAAACACAGTCACATGTAAGGGTTCACTTGGATGGTTATACTCAGTGTACGCCGAAATACTCCCTCCTGGCTCTTTCTTGGTGTTGCAGGGCACCTGAGCCATGAAGACAATAAAACAATAGTTTGGAGCTGTATTCCCTATAAACGCAGAATACAAATAAAGGTTGCCATACTACAGACCAAGAAAAAAAACCCTTTTTCTCATTCGTTAAATACGGCTGTGTTTTATGACTTAAGACTCAACTCCACTGCAGGCTTAGCATCGCTTAGGAGCAAATCATTTGCAAAAAATCAACTTTAATGTAAAGAATGTGCAGCTTGAACAATACCAGGTTTTTAAATCCCACGGACTTTTAATCTTAAATTTGAATACCTGACTTATGAGCGAGGCTAAGCCTGTGCAAAATGAGTCGGTTGTGGTCATCAAAAACAGCGGTAAACATGGAATGCAAAACTCCGCTGTATTCCGAGTATTCAGAAAATTAGAGCTATGTTGTTATTTTCCCTCGCGTTGATAACTCAATTTTAGGATTTCTTTTCTTTCTAACTGTCACAACTGGTTAGATATTTATTGATGGTGTATTTCTCTTTGTATATACAGTATGCAGCCAAGGAAACTGGTGCCATTCCACAACCACCAAAACARGATGATCAGACGGAATCATTGAAGGAAGACACAGAAATGGCGGAACCAGAACCGAAGAAAGAAGAAAGTCCAAAAGAGGAGTCGGGCACTCTTATTGTCAACGAAGTAAAGGACTAACTTCCGTGATTTTGAAGATGTTTACATAAATGTATAGACTTTTTTATTGCCAAGAAACCAAACACTTTGTGCAAATAAACACGTTTTCATGTATAGAAATGACTAATAAAGTTAGTTGCTGGATTAAAGTTATTAAAGTCGTTATATGGGCAGGAAATCTAACCTAAACTTGAAGCAACTGGATAAAAATATATACATGTATAAAAATCGTCCTTGTTTTATTTCTTAATGTGAATAGCATTTGACTAACAAGCCCCTGTCCCTCACAATTTAATCCGAATCTGGGAATGTTTTTTGCGATAAACGAAGCTGATTTGGAAAAAGTTAGGAAAAACTTTAAAGCAGGGGAGAGAACCAATAAACAACTGCACTCGCATGTGTTTGGAAATCTTGAGTCAGGACTAATCTTATCAAAGCGCAAAAATCAGGAATGATAGTTTCCGGAACCCAGAATTTAAACAAATGTTGTGTGCCGAAGCTGCAAGTTCCTTATACTTCTATAACTTTATGTTTTGAAAAATGGCTGATTTCCCCCGAATTTTCGAAGCATTCCTGAGGCAGCAAGACGGGTGCAATGACGCCCTTTTAAGCCGGAAATGGAGACGCTGAGTACGCACCGCTGTCAGTTAAACGCCTTCTTAGCTGCTGTACTACTGGTGTAATCATTAAAGAAAACCTGCTTACTCATCTGAAAAAAAACTGAAGATGGGTTCCGTAAGTGCACACAATTTGGTCAAGGTAAAAACCAGTGTTTGAGTCCTTGTTGCGGCTTCACTCTCGTGATAGGCCAATAGAATTTTTCTTTGAAGCTTTGAAAATAGTTTATTTCTTAAAAAATGCCTTTAACTGAATAAGCCATAGGTAATTTCAAATGAAAATTAACATCAAATAATGATGAATTCGCAAGTTAATTTCATTTCAGATATGGTTTCGTTTGGTATATAGATTATTCTCGGAATAAGTTCGGATAAATTCGGAGTGGTCGGAGCACCATCGGCGAGACTGGAGTCCATATATTGCGTTCGYCTGTTGATCGGAAATGAGTCGGCGAATGGCCGCGGCTTTGTAAATCCAAGATGGCCGAAGTAAACGGGGAAGTTGAWGTAAGAAAATGCCTTTGGAAGTCGTTTTTATCGTTTCAAAAGTAAACACCAACTTAATATTTAATTGAAATATACATCTTTCTTTCAGATTGAAATCATTGAAGGCTGCAGGATGCCGGTCAGAATGAGTAATTCAGACGAATGGCGTAAGTGTTACGAAACTTGCAGTTGGCGCCTAAGAATTATTCAAATTTATATTTTGTCAAAAAAAATTCGTTTCTTGATATCCTTTGATTTATGTTATAGCATTTTTCGTTTTAGCTCTGGCTGAAATCATAAGCAAAAAGGAAGCAAAGGACGGCTGGGAGTTTTATGTCCACTACATCGATTGTGAGTGAACTTTCTGAGACTTTATTAWATAATTGGTACTTTTGAGGCAAGCGAGTGAAAAGTTTCGATATTTTTTTAGGAAGGGTGTACATTTTTTCGTTTAATGTCCACAATCTTAGCAGCTACATAGTTTGCCTAATCCTTAATAAGTAATTTAGATATTTATTTTCGAAATTGCAGCAAAAATTGCAAATTTTCGTAAACTTTAAAAAAAAACAAGATGGCGGACAGCAAAGTTTCAATCCCATAGTGCACTGCGGTAGTAATTTTTCATTTTATCATTTGGGATCCAAATTATTAACTTAATTTGTTTTCACTTCTGTCGTATTAAGAAATTAAAATTGTAAGTGGGGGTTTGAGATTACTAGAGACAATTCTTTTTCATCCCAAAACTGTACTGCAAGAATATAACTAATACATAATTGACACTTTCAAAATGTAAACATACTGTGGCAATGATCTCTATTTTTGGCTTTAGTTATCAGTGATTAAAATACACAAAAACTGGTTTAATTGAATGAAATGCTAAGCATCAAGCATATGAAAATAAATGAATACTTCATTTTACAGTTCCGTTCCAAGCCGTGACCAGAGTTTCGGCACATGATAAAAAGTATAGTTTTGATATGTGCGGAAACTGCAGCCTCGACTTGCAATGGTATTATTCGTGGTCACTTGAACAGTACTGTAAAATGGAGTACGTATTGAAAAATAATTAAATAGAATGAAAACAACTTTATTTCCCTATCTTTATTTTATCTAGATAAGCCTTTATACTTTATCATTCCTTAGATAGTAAAATATATGTATTATATATATTGACTATGAAAATATTTTGTCATTTTGTCAATAAGTTTGAAGGTTTATATTTCCAATATGTTAATAACTATGATTATAAAATACTGTATACCATTATAAAATGATCCCTTATATTACATCATAGTAATAATTACTTTTACTATATTATAACCTATTGGAAATGTAAAACTCATGCCATACTGACTTCCAGCATAATTTACCTTTTTGTTTTGCTTTAAGCATAATTTACCTTAAATACATTTTTTGTAATATATAGTTAACAAGAGATTGGATGAATGGGTGACAGAAGACAGATTAGACAAAACAAAAATTCAATTACCTAAGAAAGAAGATTCTAAAAAGATCAGTAAAGGTGCAGCAGGAAGTAGACCACCCTCCCCTGAAAGAGACCTTGTAAATGGCAATGGAACAAGAACAAAAGCTGTCATTGGAAGGAAAAGAAAAGCTAATGCTATGGACAAGTCATCTGATGACATCATTGTAAGTTATCACTTACATGTAAAGGGAAGATTGTTGTACTAAACATACTAATAATCTCTCGATACATCTAGAAGTAGACTGACAACAAAGCATAAATAAAATACATAATATACATTAATAATACATAATGTAGCTGATAGGATTGGTCTGCCATGCATGTTACGGACCGGTCATTTATTAGAGAGAGGGGTGCCCAGGCTGGTGCAAATGGGGAGGGGGCCTTGTTCAACCAAAAATGCGGGGCTGCATGAAATTATGCAAACATTTTTGGGGGTTCATGCATTTTAAGGTATTTTTAACTATTTCAGGTTTGATATAGTGTGTAAAGCTTTTTAGTCTACATTTTCATGGAAAATTTAAAGCATAGAATCTTGGAAGTGAATCCGAGAATACTATGGAAAACACAGGTATTCGGACCCAAGCAAGGGGAGCTCAGGGGAAAGGGTTTTCGGTGGGTAAAATGTTAAGGAGTGCGTAAGAGTGTTTATAGAGCATGAGGGTATGGATGGGAATGAGTTCGTATGAGTATTGTAGATTGGAAGAGATATAGGAAAATATGAAATTTGTAAGGATTAATTTGAAGGTAACGCAGGGAATGGGGGAAATATGCTGCATATGGCCATGGCACGAGTTGAGGGGGCAGTGTTGATATGATGTTTTGAAAAATAATTTGCTTGTAAGTTTGTATGATGAGCTCATGTGTAGGTAGAACCGAAAGTGTATGGATGTTAGACTTAGCACCCTTTCTTGGACCTATCGTCAGGGGTGGGGATGCAAGATAGCGAAGGAAATTGACGTGTTTCAAGACTCTTAGGCCCAGGTTGGGTCTGAGTTGGGGGTAGGTCATGTTATTTTATGTTCTCATTCTTAGGTGGCCACGTTACTTTTTGCATTTGAAAGAACAGGGCCACAAGAAAATATGCCATGGGAAATGAAAATGCACCAGCCCACCCCCCCTCTAATAAGTGACCAGTCCCTTAGCCTTAAGATATTCCTACATTCTAGTACCTGTCCACCTTCAATAAAATGTTAACAAAAATACTAATTATCATTATATCTTCCATTAGATTGAAAGCCAAGATAGTCCTACTAAAGATTCCCCTCCAAAGATAAATAATTTACGCAACCATGGAAGCATGGTCCACGATAGAAGCAATGATGACATTGTAACAAGGATGAAAAATATTAACATGGTGCAAGTGGGCAAGTTCAGGATAAGGCCCTGGTATTTCTCTCCCTATCCTCCAGAGTTCACCAGGCTGCCTTTGATATATCTGTGTGAATTCTGCCTCAAGTTTGTCAAGAGTTTTACTTGCTTAAAAAGACACATGGTAAGAATTATTACTAAAATTATTAAATTATTTGATAGGCTGTTGGTGCCTTTTCACATCCAAGAGAGAACAACAACAGGGCTAGAAATAGATAATAATTGCAG